GGCCCAAAGATGGGCCCACAGATGCCCCCCCCCAACCCCCCCCAAAAGAAAAGCTTCAGGAGGGGTCCAAAAGGCCCCCAAGACGGCCCCAAGAGCGCCAAAGATCGCCCCAAGAGCGCCCCAACAGGGCCCCAAGAGGCGATTTTGATGGCCCCGGAGGGTGAGGGAAATCGAGGACCCCTCCTCGTTTGATCGATTGTTTCCAAGACGGCCCCAAGAGGCGCTCCAGGGCTCCCAAGAGAGCCCCAGGAGAGCCCCAAGAGGGTTCCAAGATGGTCTCAAGGGGGCCCTAAGAGGCACCCGAGAGGCCCCCGAGCGGTCTCAGAGAGCCCAAGATGACCTCCGAGATGGCTCAAATAACCCAAGCTGGCTCAAGCCGGTTCCCAAGATGCTCCAAACGGCTCCAGGACCGCATCAAGAGCGCCCAAGAGCGCTCCAAGAAAGCCCCAAGAAGCGGTTTGCGGGCCCCTGAGGGAGTAGCTGAGTTAGGGGCCTCCCCATCTTGTAATCGATGGCCTCCAAGATGATCCCAAGAAGCCTTCCAGGGATACCAAGAGGGTTCCAAGAGGGCCCCCCAAACCCCCAGAGAGCACCAGCAGCAGCATCAGCCGCAAGAATGCATCTGGATGGTTCCAGGTCCATGAGTCCTCGTCCGCGTGGTCCTCATCCTAGTCCTCGTCCTCCTCGTCATCGTCCTCATGCGCGTCCTCGTCCTCCTCGTCCTCCTCCTCATCCTCCTCCTCCTCCTCCTCCTCCTCTTGCCCTCGCCCCCACGCGGCCTCCAGGGATGGCCCGAAGAGGCCTTCCAAGGCCACGCCCTTGCTCCCAGAGATCTCTCGGTTCACCCTGGTCGCTCGCTTTGTTTCCCTCGATGTGACTCTTCGTCCCTTTCCCCGTCAGCTCTCATGGGCAGGGCTTCTGAATGGGCTGGTGGGCGCGACCGCGGCGAAGAAATGTCGGGCGGCGTCAAGGGGCTGGTGGGGATACTTTTTGGTCGGCGGCCGCTCGACAACGGTCTGGCGGCAACAGGCGATGTCCGGGGCGGGCGGCACAAAGCTAATTGCACACAGAGCGTGCGGTGCACGTGCACTGAGCAAAATGTTCCACATTCACTAGCAGACGCATCTAAAACTGGTGGGGATACTTTTTTTGGTTGGCGGCTCCCAGGCGAATGTCAAGGAGCGGGGCATCGAACGGGGCGCGAAGCGAAGATAATTGGCCGCAGTGGCATATGCACATGCGAGGGACAAAATGACCCAAATTACACGCCAAGGCCGGCGCAGACATCCCGGCGATTGGGGACCACTACGCGGCGACCGGCGGCGAGACGGCGACGAGAAACGCAAACTAGTGGGGATACGCGAAGCGTGAAGAATTACCACAAGCCAGAATAATGCCTCTCTGCCGCGGAGCGTCATCCTGGGGATCTCTTGGGGCTCTTTGGAGCCTCTCGAGTGCATCTTAAGAGTATCTTCGGGCCTCTCTGGGGCATCTCGGTGACCTCTTTGTGGCGTCTTGGGGACATCAAGGGGTCTCCTCGGGCTGTTCCGGGGCCTGTTAAGCAAGAGGGACGCTGGCCCTCTGGCCTTTTCAAAACTTGGAGCGGTTAGGACCGGGAGCGAACAGGCGGTAAGGCGAAAACGCATGTTAGTATGTTCCTCGGGTGTTGGAATGCCGTTGCCCTCGCGGGGGCACGCTTTGGGTATCTTTGGGGTCATCTTGGACCGACTTTGATGCTGTCTCGTCTCGTCTTGTCTCGTCTTATCGTTTCTGGTCGTCTTGGATCGACTTCGGGGCGTATTCAGCCGTCTTGGCGTCCATCCCACGCGGGTCCCATCGCCGCACGGGAACTTGAGGTTCGCCCTCCATGTTAGGAGACCTCCCTCCCATGGGTCTTGGGGGGGGAGGGCGCGGGGGATTAGAACGTCCAAGGCGGCCCAAGATGGCTCACAGATGGCCCCATACAGCTCAAGCTGATCCCCAAGATGTCACAATATATCCAAAGTGGGCTCTCAACAAGCCTCTGAGAGGCCCAAAGACCGCCACAAGATGGCCCCAAGTAGACACGGAGCTTCCCAAGATCACCCAAAGAGGGTGTTCCAATGTTTTGCATTCTCGCCGTCGGCCTTCGACTGGCTGCTGATGCCTCATGATCGCCCAAGCAAGCCTCAAAAAGGGTCAAGACAGACCCCAAGACAACACCGAGTGCTCAAGAGCACTCCAAGAGCACCCAGAGAGAGGCCTCAGCACACACACACAAACGCACACATGTTCTGGCACCGACAGGGGGTGGGGAAATGAACGCAACCTCTCTGCTCATAGGCAAAATCAGTGAAACAACAAGTGTTGTCTTGAAGGACTGGTGTGTTTTGAAACATCATGGGGAGGCTTTGAGCCAAGCTGGCTCCTTCGCTCCAGATTACCTAAAAGTGCCTCCGAGATGGCAGAGGATATCCCACGATGGGTCAAGATAGCCTTAATCATACCTCCGATAAGCTAGAAGACGGCTTGAACTTGCCTCGGAGCTTCCCGAGGACGATCCAGAGAACCACATATCCTTCAAAGGCGGAGTGTGCTTCAGATGGGCTTTCGGGACCTCAAGATGATTGAAATATGGACCACGAGAGCCTCACCAAGAATCCATGACGGCTCAAATACAGCCTCAGAGATCCCCGCGAGCGTCCCGAGAGCACCCCAAGAGGGCCCCAAGCATATCTCGGCTCCGCCATGCAGCCCTACTGAGCGCCGCCCGCTTGTTCAATCGGTGGCATCCAAGGAGGCTCCGAGAGAGCCCCCAAGAAGGCCCCCAAGAGTTCCCAACAGGACTCCGAAAGCTCCCAGAAGGGGCCGCAAGAGAGCTCCAAGATGGCTCCAGGAGGCTCGCAAAATTCGCGGCGGCTGGCATCTTTCCTTCTCTATGCGCTTACCTGCCTCCCTTCCCCCGACACCTCGCATGGGCACTGTCTATGGACGGGCTGGTCGGGATGCGCGAAGCATTAAGAGATCGGACAGGGCCCCCTCGAGCAGATCTGGCATGCGGCGCCACCGAGCTCTCGTGCCAAGAGCTACTGGGAGGCCCGGGCGCCTCCTCCCTTGCACCTCTTTGGGGATCTTGAGCAAGACGGGCGTTTCCTTGAGTGTCCGTCGACATGCGATGCTCGACGCATGGTGCCGCGTACATCTTGGTCGGCGTTCGACGTCGTAGTTGCGTCGTCGGTGCTCGTCGACGTTCGATGCTCGCTAACTTGTGCTTGTTTTTCTTCGCCAGGAGGGGGGGGGGGCAGGGCTCTGTGGCGGCCATGCGCCTGACACCGCCCCCCGGCTGTGCGCCGCCGTGGCGCGGGGGGGAGGGAGAGGCGGGACTGGGCTTCTGGAGCGGGGCCCCGCGACCGGCAGGTAACTCGCGCGAGACCCCTCGGGCACGCCGGAAGCCGAGGAGGGAGGGGAAGGAGGGGGGAGGAACAAGGAGGGAGGTGGAGGGAGGAGGTCGGATGAGCACGAGGAAAAAAAGGAAGGATTGAGCATGTCGGAAGATGGCGAGTTCCGCCTGAGACGGCCCCAAGGCGGCCAAAGAGAGCCTACGAAGGCCCCCCAGAGGCCCCCAATATACACCCAAAGCGGCCAAGACTGGCCAAAGACAAGCAAACATTGCCCCGAAGGAGCCGCAGGCCGGCTGATTAGGCTCTCAAGACGGCTCGAGTGGGCCCGAAGAAAAAACCCAATACCCCCCCCCCTTCCAGAGGCAAGACCATACAATGTTCCTTGGCTGTTTCGTTCTCCGGTGCTTGCATGCTCGCCATCTCACCATTCCGAACATCCAAGGCGTCCCAGGATGCCCCCACGATCGCCCAAATATGGCCCGAAAACTGCCCAGGAGCAGTCCAAAACATCCCAACAGGGCCCCATGAGAACCCCTGGAATGTCTGCAGGAATACCCACACAGCCCACTATGCCCGCCCGCCAGGCCAACCCCGGACAGCCCCGCAAGATCCTCATACCAAATCCTCTTTCGATCCTTCGGACTTTCTCTTCTCGGTCATTCGAACATCCTCCCTCTCTTTTCCCTTCTATCAATCGATCCTCCTCCTGCGTTCGAAAGGGACAGTTACTGAGGGGCCGGCTAGGGGGGAGGAACCATCGACCTGGAGTCGGCAATACATCGCCGATAGATGAAACATCAGCCCCCGATGGCATGTGTGCACGCTCTTGAGCGGGGCGGGCTATCGGGCCCCTATCGGCAATGAGTGGGCGATTGGATTCGCTGTACTTCCCCCTGCTCCCCCTCCTGCCCCTCCTCCTCTTTCCCTGCTCCTTGCCTCCTCTCCCTCCCCCCTTTCTCCGCTCGGGCCTTCGAGCCTCCCGTGCCTTCCTTCCAGGCTGGTCTTGTGAAGCTTTCAATCGCGGCAGTGGCCACGTTTCACACTGGGTGTGCCGTTACACCTGGTTGTCCCGCAGGCTTTCATGCACATGCGTTGCCCCGCGTGCGTTTCATGATCGTGCTCTGTACTGACTGGACTGTGAACCTTCGTCCGTTCCGATCGGATCCCCTCGCCCTCAATTCCCTCCTCGCGCGTTGCCACGGAGTCCTGCACACATGCCGCGGCCGATGCCCAGCGCCGCAGCTGGGCGCGAGCCGCTGGAACGGAGGGCGGGCACACCACTATGCGTGATGGCGGGCCCTGTTTGGGCCCCCCGTGCACGTGCGACGTCCTTCGGGGGCGCGCAAACATGGATTAGCGATCCATGGATTTGGCGCGCGGTCGCCAAATCCGTGGATCGGGGGAGGTGCCCTCCCCGAAGTGCGGCCGGTGCCGCCTGGCTCGGCGGCGGGAACCCGCGATTTCCAATGGAAACGGGACCCGTCGCTAATCCACGCCCCCTTAATCCATGTTGGCGATCGCCTGAATCCTTTCCTCCCTCCTCCCTCCCTCCTCCCCCTCCTCGTCCGCCTCCCTTCACCTCCCGTCGCGCGCCCCCCGCCTCCGCGCATGGGGTCCCGGTCAGCGGAAGGCGCGCGCAGGCGCGAAGAGGATCGGGAGGTGGGCCTTCACCTGGCGGCCGCGTTTTGCGGGCAGCCCGAGGGCTTCGCTGCCAACCAGGCGACAGAAAGTACTGGACCACTTCGCCTCCTCATGTTCCCACCCCCCCTACATGTTCCCGTCGTAGGTGTCCTCCTCCTCCTCCTCCTCATCATCATCCCACGTCCTCTTCGCCGTTATTATCATGCTCGTCCTCATTCTTGGCCTCATCGTCGTGACCGTCCACCTCCTCCTCCTCCTCCTCCTCCTCCTCCTCCTCCTCCTCATCTTCCTCCTACTCGTTATCCTTCTGTTCCTGTCCTCCAAGTCCTCGTCCTAGTTTTCGTTGCTGCCCCTGCTCCTCTTCCTCGTCCTCCATATGATCGTCCTCCTCCCTCTTCTCGCCTTCTCCTCCGACTCGTATGGCATCCTCCTACTCCTCCTACTCCTACCCGGTACTCCCCACCTCCTCCCCCGTCCTGCTCCTGAACCTCATCCTCTCTTCATCTCTCATGTCCTAGGTCTCCCCTCCCGTTCCTCCACTCCTCTTCCGCCCCTTCCTCATCATTCGCCTCCTCGTGTTGCTTCTCCCTCTCCCCGCTGGCGCAACATGTCAGGGCAGCGGAGTGACCTTGCCGTCCTCATCCAAGATTCTCCTCCTCTCTCGCTTCTCCCCCTGGACACGTTCGATCTGATTTCCTCGAATATCTCAGCTGCATCTGCGTTCGAGGAGAAAAGGGAGACAATGCGAACGAGGGGGAGGACGAAGGGAGGAGTCAGAGAGGGAGAGGGGAACGCCATGAGTACCTGAGCTTCTTTGATGGATGAGGAATGGAAGGAGAAGACTGCATATTAGAGCGGTGAAGAAAGATAGATAGTGTAAGCGTAAGTATGAGTAGAAGGCCTAGAGCGGTGCGGAACGTAGGTGATATAAGTTCGAATGCACCGTGAGACTAATAGGTTGGAGTGCGGAGTGAAGTGGTGCAGATTAGATCGTAGATCAACGGAAACTGTTTTCAATAAGGAGCACACTGTTCATACAGTGACAATCCCCCTCTCAGCCCCGCTTCTCCTATCTCCTCCTCGAAGCGAACAAGAAATTGGGACGCAATTGTGATTCCGCACCCCTCCCTCCACCCCCACAAAATATGAACACAATAGAACTGCAACAGGAATTCCTCGCCCCCTCGTTCCCCCTCCCCCCAGGGAAATACAATGGAAACGCACTAGGCATTAAATTGGAATGAATCCCCCCCGCCCTCCGCCCCTCCCCCTCCCTCCTTCGCTAATAGGACTATGATATAGCAAGCGGAATTCCTCACCTCCTCGCGCCCTCCTCGTCCGCTAGGGATAGCAATAAGAATATCATCAGGATTCATTCCCGATCTCTCCACCCTCACCCAATAACAACGCGATGTGAGCACAATGGATATACAGCTTGGAAGCAATGGCAAGTCATCACACATCCCTTTACCCCTTCTGCCCCCGCCTCCTCTTATGCCCGATTGCACTCCCAGGGAGGAACGGGGGAACGACGGAGGGAGGGGGGAATTAACTCAACGCTATTGCGCTCCTCAGTGCATTCGGATTGCATTCATACTGGAGGGAGGGAGAGGGGGAGGAAGAGGAGGAGGAGAAGCAGGAGGAGGAGGAGGAGGACGGGAAGGGAGAGGAGAAAGAGGGGGAGAGGACGAAGGAGGAGGGGGAGAAGGAGGAGGAGGGGAGGGAGGAGGAAGAGGAGGAAAATGAGGAGGAGGAGGGGGAGGAGGAGGAGGAGGAGGAGGAGGGGGAGGGGGGAGGACGAGGAGAAGTAGGAGGCGGAGGAGGAGGAAGAGAGCAAAGAGACTAGACCAGAGGAGTCCGCAGGATTCCTACTCCAGAAAAATAGCGATGGCTCTGAAAGACGGAAATATAGAAACGTGCTGATAGGATTTTTCCCGAACAGGTTAAGGCCCTTGCAAAACATCCTGGTGCTAGGTGCAGGCCTCTGGGGGGGGAGGGGGGGCCGAAATACATTGTCTGAAGCATGTTTTCTCTTCTGTCAACTTTGTTTGTTTTGTTTTGGTATCTGGTCTCTCTTACTCAGTCTGCTTCAGTCACCCCGTGAGTCTCAGATTTTTGCATGCGGGCTGACTACCACATGCATGGGTATGCAAGGCCAGTGCTGGGACGATCCTGTGGGCCCGCACCAGGGGTCATTCTGGCGAAGGGTTACTCTGTCGCGCAATTCCTAGACATCGGACGTCGTGGCTTCCTCATTCTCCAGGAGGACTGGACCTCATCCTGCAGACCTGCTTCTCATCTTGAATAGTTTCTGACGGTCCTGGGGCCTTGAGAGCGCCGCCGAACGCCGGAAATCGCCTACGAGTGCATTGCCGAATGCGAGGATGTCAGGATAGCCAAGGTCCCTGCTGAATTCAGTCTCGCAAGAGGCCCGGTGACCTTCCCCAGGTCGCACTCGATGTCGCACGCGCGCTGCGTAAGCTCGTCGCGTCTGGTACCTGGCTCCAGGCCAAAAGTTATGATGGCTCAGCGCATGACTCTGCATCGGGGCAGTGGAACTGATGTGTCTGCTGGTGCTGATCCATTCCTCCTCCTCCTCCTCCCGTCTTCCCCCGCCTCGGGTGCCTCGTCTCCTCATCCTGCTCATGCAACTGCTGCTGTCGATGCAACCGCTGCTACTGCTGTCACGTTTGCTGCTGCTACTCGCCGTCCTCGCCTCCCTCTTCTCCCTCTTCCTTTCCTTCCCAGCGGGGGAGCGCTCCCTCGCGCCGCAGGCTCCGCCCCCCCCCCCCCCCCTCTCCCTCTCCATCTTCCACCACCCCTCTCCCTTTCCCCTCCCGGGGCGCGCGCCGTCCCAGTCTTTTCGGCACGATGTCTCCGCTGGATTTTCGCTTCGAGTAATTTTGTGGACGGTCCCAAGGCACTGCGAGGGCCCCCAGCGGCCGAAAACTGCCCAAAACCTCCCGCCAGCCTGCTTTTCACGACGCGAGCATGTCTGGGCCTGCTTACGTCTGTCCTCTTCCCTGCCCTCTTCATCGCCACGCTCCCTCGTCATGCCCCTCTCCCCCGTGCCTCCGTCCTCTCCGCCAGTCGACGGTGCGAGCGAAAAGGGGCTCTACGCAGTAGTGAAGGATACGAGAAGGGGTAGACCGTCAGATATGACGCGAGCGCACCTACCTTGATCCCTCCTCCTCTCCCCTGTCCCTCGCTCTCCCTTCTTCCAATTCCCTTTGCGTTTCCCCGCTCCCTCTTCAGCTGGGACCACGATGAACAAGTTACCGAAATATTCTGCATAGAGTTTTAAACTTTGGTGTTGTGGTCTCAGTCCTAAGGCCCTACGCAAGGCCGAGAAGCTCCCTCGCAAGCGTTCGTAGTTCGTTTTTCGACTCGCATCGCGACTGTTCCCACTCCATCATTCACCCTCTTCAATACGGGGTCCCCCGATCTATGGGCCACTTCCCAGGGACTGGATTTGCGTCCCGGATCGAGTCCTTACCGCAGTCCTGGGGCCTGGCGAGGGCCTCCAGACACCAGAAACCGTGAGAACACTTAGTCTTGATACGTTGGAATGGGCCCGCTCCCTCTCCCGTTCCCCGCTCCCTCTTCCTGCTCTCCCTCCACGCCCCCGGCCAGGGTGGACCCGATCTCCCTCCCCCCCGCGGGGCGGCGCCCTCTCGCGTGAGCCCCTCCTCCAGCCTGCCCTCCAGCAGCCGTTGCTTGCTCGCCAGCGCCTCCGTCACCTGACCCTGCGCCTCCAGGGCCGGCAGCAGGGCCTCGCTCCGGTCGGCGCCGCGCGCGGGCCCCCGCTCGAGCCCCCCCTCTCTGACGGGGGGGGGGGGGGCGTGGCGGGGTCCAGCGCGGGGAGGATCGTACGATGGCTGGGCGCCCATCCTCGACAGGGCTTGCGCCCGCGCAGGCCCCCAGGGGTGCAGCCCCAAGCTCGAGCCCCCCTCTCAGTGACGGGGGGGCGTGGCGGCCCCGATCCCCGCCGAGGCAGGGCTTCCGACGGGCGAGGGAGTTGGGGCCGCGCGCGGGGAGGATCCTGCGATGGCCGGGCGCCCCTCCTCGACAGGTCTGCGCCCGCGCAGGCCCCCCGGGGTGCATCTACAAGCAAGTTCCGTTACTTTTCTGAGCCGTCAACGTTGTTCAAGGAAAAGGAGGAGGAGGAGGAGGAGGAGGAGGAGGAGGAGGGGGAGGAGGAGGGAGGAGGAGGGAAGAGGAGGAGGGAGGACGAGGAGGAGGAGGAGGAGGAGGAGGAGAGGAGAAGGAAGAGGAGGAGGAGGGAGGAGGAGGAGGGAGGAGGAGAGAGAGGAGAGGAGGAGGAGGAGGAGGAGGAGGAGGAGGAGGAGGAGGAGGAGGACATTGCTCAAGGAAATTCACTGCCTGGAGCGGGGAAGCCGCCTGCGACCCCCACCCCCCTGGGGCGGCCAGAGGGGCCCCCGCCGTGCCACGGTCCAAAGGCTGGACTTGAGACACGTCAGCCGCCTGGGAGACGGTTTCCACCCAGGGCCCCTGAGGCGAACTGAGCAAAACAAACTTCACCAGCATTTGTCGATGCGTCTGCCCTCTGGGGGGCACTCGTCGGGCCCAGGACCATCGAAACAATGGTTCGAACACAAGATCTACGTTTACACACAAACGCATTACATATACACACGCTCGAACCATCGCGCGCTTTGCGCGCGCTCAAGTTCTAGCTAGGCTTGACAGGCTATCGCATGGGATCTGAATTATTGAAAGGCCAAATGCATCGAACGACCTTCCCGGAGTCCCTGCGCAAGCCTCGGAATTGCAAAGACGGGGAAATGCGGAAACCACAAAAGCGTCAAATTTCGTGAGGTGTTCGATGACTTGGGGCCCTCGAAAGCTTCCTGAGATCTTTCTTCGGTGGTGAAGGGGGCCTTCATTATGGTCCGTTGTGCAACAAAATTTGAAGGCCCTGCGAAAGCCCAGGAATTCGGAGGCTTGGAGCCCTCGGAGGCTTCTGTGGGTCTTTCTTGGCCAGTGACGGGGGCCATAATCGTTGCCTGTTGTGCAAGGGTAGCGTGCGGGGGGGCGGGCTGACTTTGGAAAAGAAGAACTCTGATAATCCCTTTCTTGTTCAACTTGCCATGCTTGGGCAATCGGGCAGCAGCCTCCGGGATAAAGGCCATGATCTGTGGGATGGCCCTCGGGGCTTTTTTGTCGGCGTCTTGGAGGTCTTTCGGGGCCTCTTGGGGAGCTCTTGCTGCCTCCTGGGGGCCGCCCGGGAGTCTCCGCAAGTATCAATCTGGGGGGCGCCTCGAGAACCTCTGGGAGAACAGTGGGGCCAGCTTTGGGCAAAGCGCTCGTAAGGCTTTGGGATCCCCTCTTTTGTCTCTTTCTTGGCGAGCTTGCGCGCGCTGACGTTCTACCTAGGCTGGACAGGTGAACTCATGGGATCTATGAATTTTACGGTGGTTTCAGAAACAGCTCTGAGGACACGAAAAGGACCCAAGAGAATGCCAAGACAGCGTCAGAGACTTCAACAACATTCCCGAAAAATCGGTGCACTGTAGCCTGGAAGCCTTGATGGGGCTCGGGGTGAACTTGAACAAAAAGAGAATCAGTGGAGCTCCTTTTTTTAAGTGGGGCCTCCTAACATGTAGTGCGCAGGAATCGGGGGGGGGCCCTAAGAGGCGTGCAGAGAACTCTTGGGAGGCAGTTTGGAAGCCGCTGGGGGGCCTCTTGGGGCCACTTTTGGACCTCTTCGGGGCTCTTGGGGGCCTCTTCCGGCTCTTTGGGGGACTCTTGGGGCCTCCTGGGGGCCTCTTGGAGCAGGAAGCCGAGATCCATCTTCGGGGTATCTTGTGCTGCCTCGGGGCGCTCTTGGGCCGTCTCGGGGCCGCCTTGGAGCCCTCTTGGCCCATCTTGGAGCTGTCTTGGGGGCTCTTGTGCGGTCTTGGGGCGGTCTTGGAGACCATTTCCGGCCGTCTTGGAGCGTTGGAAGTTCGAAAACGCGAGACGACTAAAAACCGCACAAAAAAATATCAACGATGTTACCCTCTTCGGGCACTTCCGGGACGCCTCTCGGAGCTGTTTTTCTTTCCCTCGAGGACGCATCCAAGGTATTCAAAGACATGTCCGTTGCCGTTGTCGTATTTCGGCCGTGCGGCGTATGCCCACCAGATCGCAAACGGCGACCAACCACATTCGTAACAAAGGGTGGGCGACCTCAGTTCGGGGGCGAGCACAAGCGACCAGGCGGGCGGGTAGGGATCCCAAAGAACAATATGTTTCAGGATCCCCCCGGGCCAAGACGCATGCTGTGGGCATGTCAATGGGATCATTGCGCTCGCTCATGTATTATCGATATTCCATTTGTGATGCCATGAGGCGAGTCGCAAAATCAAGCCTTAAGTTGCCTTTGTAAGAACCAATCGAAAAGCTCAATGGTAGTGTATGCTGGAATCGTGCTTCCGTGCCCTGTCTGCGATAGGGCACCTGGCGGTGGCGGTGCGTCATCATACAGGGTGATATTTGCGTCGGCACTGGAGACGCCCAACTTTCGCAAGCCAGCAATAAGCTGTTCACTGATCTTGTAAGACACGACGACGTCGTTCTTTCCATGAAATGCCCACACTGGCACGTTTCTCAACACATCTGGCGACACCCGACCACTGGGTGCTATGGGTGCAACCGCTGCAAAGCGCTTCGAAGCTGCAACTCGTAATGCCGCAAAGCCACCATTTGAATGGCCTGTGATGTAAAGTTTCTGCGTGTCAATGCGGCGGCCTAGAACGTCAGGGTCAAGCACAAAGTTTAGAAACGTCAATACTTTTTCTGTTGGAAAATACTCTCTATACGGAGTCTGGGGTGCGATCACAATGAAACGATTTGCAAGTGCTGGCATGGCTGTCCCATTCGACAGTGCAAGCATCGGAGTGGTCGCACCGGGATGGACAAGCTTTTTCAATTTGTACCATTCCTTTCCTGACTCACCCCCACCGTGAAGAAACAGCAAAAGGGGAAAGCGGTCAGCATCACCAGTGCCGCCAACACCTTTCGGCGGGACATGCACAAGTGCTGCGTATGTGCTCGGATCACCTATCTTCAACAGGGAGCTTTCGCCGAAGGGCTCAAGCGTGTGTCGCGCGGACATACTGCGCTGCAACAGCACAGTAGTACCTGCAGCGTTCACAATCGCACTGCTGGCTTCGGCAATCGAGGCCGACCTATGCTCCACCGTTGAAGATCCAGCAAAATTTAGCAACACCAGCACACGGCATGGGAGGCGTATTCTGACTAGGATTGGCATGAAGCGTACCATCTGGACAAGTTTGCGAAATTGGCAACAGTACGACTGCTCTTGAGCCACATTTGAGCCAAAATGGCTACGGACGCCTCTCGAAGCTCTCTTGGGGCCTCTTGGAGGCCTCCCGGGGAGCCGTCGGGGGTCTGTCTTGGGCAGCTTGGGAGCGTCCAGCAGTCCTTTCGCATTCTGGGGTCTCCTTGGGGGCGTCTTGGGCCGTCCTGGGGCGTTTTAGGACCTCCCTGGGAGGCCAGGGGGCGCGGTACCGGGAGTTACCCTCAGATGTCACGGAGGTGGGGGACGCTCTTGGGGGGGAGGGGCGTATAATTATTATGTAATATAGATACATGTGCGAAGTATATACACATACAGGCATGCAGACGCACATACATACAAACATGCATGCGTGCATGCATACATACATGCATGTATACATGCATACATACACGCATGAATGCAAACATGTATACCTATATACATGTATACATACACGTATACATACCTACATACATACATACAGCCATACGCACACATACAGACAGGCATACAAACATGCATGCATGCAGACATACATACATAGTTACATGCATACATCAATGCGCATGTACATGCATGCATACATACATACACACATCCACATGTACGCACAAACATACATGTGTACCTGCATGTATGCTTACATGCGAGTATGAATGCATGACTGCATGCACTCATGCATGCATACACACATACGTACATACAAGCGCACATGCATACATACATGAATGGATACACAAAAACATACAACCATACATACATGTATGCATGTATGCATGTATGTGTGACTGTATGCATGCATACATACATGCATACAACTATACATACATACGTACATCCACGCACACATAATACACACATACGCACCTACATACATACATCTGTACGTATAAGCTTACATACATACGTACAGATACCCAGTCATACGTTAAGTCGGGCCTGTCCCCCTACAGGGGGATTTTCGACGAAACATAAAAGATACCCAAAACATAATCCAAAAATAATGCCAACATAGTCTGGGGACTATTTTTGGACTATGTTCTGGCCTTTCTGGAGTATGTTTGGGGTATTTGCATTTTTCGTCGAAAATCCACCTGTAGGGGACACGCCCGACATAATCAGACGTGCATGCACACGTGCAAACATACACACATACACACATACATCCATATGTATATATATATATACACATACGTACGTACGTACATACATACATATAAGCATGCAAACATGCAGGCAACTATACACACATATGCACACACATATACTAGAACCATCGCGCGCGCTTCGCGCGCGCTCAGGTTCTAGCAAGCCCCAGGCCTTGACTAATTCACTGCTCCACTGAAGTAGTGGACCACAGTTCACGCATGCCAATCCGCATTCCGAAAGGCTTTCGGGCACAATGGTTGCGTAGGTGGGCAAAGACCGGATGCACAGGGTTCCCCGAAGGCCTTCTGGGAGCATGGGTTTGGGGGGCGTCTTGGGAAGCCTGTTGGGGCGTGCCGTCGTCGTCGTCGTCGTCGTCGTCGTCGTCGTAATGTCGTCGTCGCCTCTTGGGGCGCGCCGTCATCGTCGTCGTCGTCGTCGTCGTCGTCGTCGTCGTCGTCGTCGTCGTCGTCGTCGTCGTCGTTTTGTCGTCGTCATCGTCGTCGTCGTCGTTGTCCTCGTCTTCGTCGTTTTGTCGTCGTCATCGTCGTCGTTGTCGGTTCAAGAAGGCACTCGGGGCAATTTTGCGCAAAACGATCTGCGGAGGGCCGCGAGAAGGCGATCAGTCATGTTCCCAGTCAACTTCCCAGACAGCTCTCCTGTAGCATGATGGTACTTCGAAGCCTCCGGAGACTGGCGGACCCATGATGAACCATGTCCCTGGAAGGCTTTCTGGGGACATGGTTTGTTGGGGTGTGTTGGGTGGCCTCTTGGGCGTTCCCTGGGGGCCCCTGGGGGACCTCCGGGAACTCTCGGGCCCATGATGAACCATGTCCCTGGAAGGCTTTCTCGGGACATGATTTCTTGGGGTGTGTTGGGGGGCCTCTTGGGCGTTCCCTGGGAGCCCCTTGGGGGTCTCTATTGGGGCTTCCTGGGGGCCCCTTGGGCGCCTCACAGGGCTTCGTGGGAGCCTCTTGGTGGCCTCCGGGGGCCTACTGGTGGCCTCTATAGGGCCAGAGGCCTCGAAATATCGGTTGGCGGTCCCCGTCTGGGCCCCCTCTTGGGGAGCTCTTGGGGCACACTTGGGTTGTCTGGGGAGCCTCCTGGGCCGTCTTGGGGCCCTCTTCGGGGCCTCGTTGGCCGTCTTGGAGCGATCTGAAGGGCCTCCGAGGCCGTGAGGCAGCGCTGGGAAGCAGGGAAAGCGAGAACGCCTAAATCCAAAACACTCGGAAAATGAGTAAATCTTGCCTCCCCGGGCCCTCTTGGGGAGCCTCTTGAGTCCGTCCTGGAGCGTGTTGGAGTCCTCGTCGGCCGTCTTGAAGGCATCTTGGGCGGGCGTCTTCGGGACCTCTTGGGACCGTCTTGGGCCCTCTCGGGGCCCCCTTAGCTTGTCGTGGCCTGTTTCGGGGCGGGCTCGGGCCGCCTCGGGAACTCTGGACCCCCCCCGCCACAACCCCGTCGGGCACCGATGGGGGGAACAGGCAACACCCCCCCCCTGGGCCTACTCCGAGATATAATCATGTTCCCGGGAAGCTCTCCGGGAGCATGATTTGTTCGGCTCTCTCGGGGGGGGGGGCCTCTGAGGGCTTACCGAGGAGCCCCTTTTGGCCTTGTCGGCAAGCCTATTGGAAACATGGTTGGGGCGGTGGGCGGAAGCCCAAAGAATCATGTTCCTGGGAAGCTGTCTGGGAAATACGATTTACCGAGGTGTCTTGGGCGCCCGCAGGGGGCTTCCCTGGGGGCCCCTTGGGGGCCTATTTAGGCTTCTGGGGGGCCTCTTGGGAGCCTCACGGGGCTTCTTGGGAGCCTCTTGATGGCCTCCAGGGGCGTCCTAGGATCCTCTCAGGCCGGAGACCTTGAAATGTCGCGCTCTTCGGGCCCTCTTGGGTCGCTCTTGGGGCACTCTTGGGGCGCTCTCGAGGCCCTCTTGCATTTTCTGGGGAGTCTCCTGTGCGGCCGTCTTGGAACGATCTGAAGGGCCTCTGACGCCGTCCAGGACCGTGTGGAGGCGGAACATGCGAGAGCGCAAATATGCCAAACAAATCATCGGAAAATTGATGATGATTTCGGGCTTCTGGGGCCCTCTGGAGGGGCCTCTGGAGGCGCTCTTGGGGCGTTTTGGCGGCGTCGTCGGCCGTCCTGAGGCCATCTTCGGCGTGTCCCGGGCCTCTTGGGGCTGTCTTGGCAATATTCAGGGCCCTCTAGGCATGTCGTGGCGTGTTTGAGAGCGGGCCCGGGCAGTCCCGGGAGCCCTGGAACCCCCCCAAGACCCCCTATGGGGGGGTATGGCACCGGCCTGGGCCCCCCACCCGGCCTACGATATGTAAATATACATACATACATACCTACCTACCTACCTACCTACCTACCTACCTACGTACATACATACATACATACATACATACATACATACATACATACATACATGCATTCAAACACGCATGTATGCATACATGCAAACATACATACATTCTACATACATACATACATACATACATACATACATGCATGCATGCATACATACATACTTACATTCATACATACATACATACATACATACATACATACATACATACATGCATGCATGCATGCATGCATGCATGCATACATGCACACATACAAACATATAAAAATACATATATACATACATACACCTACATACATACATACATACATACATACATACATACATACATACATACATACATACATACATACATACATACATACGTACGTACGTGCATACATACATACATACATACATACATACATACATACATGCAGGCATGCATGCATGCATTCACACACATTACATACATACATAGGTACACACACCTATATGTATATCTATATATGCAGATATACACGCACACATCTGAACCTTTATACTTGCACATGTATGTGCACTCGTATGTATTGCATGTCTGCATTAAACAATAAAAGAAGTGCCCACGGAAAAGGGCGGGACTGTCGGGGGGGGCCGACATATCACCAACTGGAACCGTTGCAGCGGAAGACCCTCCACAGCTTTGCGCAACTACGCAACGAGAGGTTGTGATAGGGGGCCGTGATGGACGATGGTCAGGGGCCCCTGAACGGATCGGTGACCACACCCTGTGGTGAATCAGTGGGGTTTCGGTGTGGCCTCACGGTTTTGGGACTTGGGTTGTTCTCAACGGATGTCCCGGGCGAACAGGGCCTCCGGGGTCCCAAAAACCGCGTGACGAAGGACCGTGCGGTGAGATCTCCTGGGGGTTCGAAACCACGGCACGGTCCATTACCGCACATGTTTGGGCCGGCGGAAGCTGTGTGAGGCTTCCCTGGCGCTGCTCAACGCCTCCCGCCCGTTCTGTCCTGTTCTGCCCAGCAACATGAACGCCCCTTACCTGGGGGGAATAGCAACCAAACTCCACTGGGGCGGAACTCTGAATTGAGCAGGGACCGACCGCCCGAGTATTCATGTAGGCCTCCAACGACATGTTCTTGGAACCACAGAGTGTCCGAATGACAGAAACAATGCTTTAAAACGTTAGCCGATGTACTAAAGCGGTCTCCACCAATAGCGTTATCATGACATGCCGCACAAACCACAACATGTTCCTAACACATTTTTGGTTGGGCCTATATGCGAGCCAGGGCGCTTCGCCACTGCTTGACACAACCCGAGTGGGTCGCTTCCAACCAAGCCATAGCATGGCCAGCCCCCTTCTAACAAGCCGATTGCGCACGGGCTCTGGTGGGGCGGGAAGCATTGGCATTGCACGAGATGGCCCTTACCGAACAAGCCACAATGCCGCAGCTCGCCCCAGCCCGCTGGTGACGACCTCCCACCCCCAACAACCCCGACAAGACGGCCCCTCCCACTCCGACGACCACCAAACGACGACCCCCCGCTCGACGAACCCGATAGCAACCATCCACTCCATCACTCCCTCCGCTGGCGCCGCCTGTTCGCCCTCGCCACGTAAGTGTTCGTAGCTTCGTCGTGGGTGGCCTGTCTTTCCCGTCTGCCCTTTCCCGCCTGCCCGCTCGCTTGCTTCGTCCCGCCGGCCCTGGCCTCCCGCCTGCGCGTTCGGCGTCGTCTGCTTGCTTCTCGTTTCCTTTCTCCCTTTCCTTCACCGCGCACGATTGTCTGCTGGGAGGGAGCAGTGCTGTTGTTGGTCCTTCCTGGGGCTCCCTTGGACTGTCTGCAAGCTCGTTTGATTTATTGTCAAGGCCTCTTGATCTCTTCCTCCCCCCTCATCCTCCCTTTTCCTCCTCCTCCCTCAACCCTCCTTCCCTCCCTCCTCCCCCCGAATCCCCTCCTCCATCCACCCTTTTCCTCCTCAGCCCCCCCTATCCCCCTCCCCAGCGCGGCTGCCGCGCCTCCTTCAGTTCCTCGGCCTCCGCGCGAGCCTGCGCGCGCGCAAGCGGGCCGACGCAAACGCCGACTCGCCAACGCCAACGCCGCCGTCGTCACGGCCGCCGCCGCCGTCGCGGCTGCCGCCACCCACTGAGCCGCCGCGCCCTCATGGCCGCCAACGCCGCAGCCGCCACCGCTGCCGTCGTCACGGCCGCCGCCGCCGCGGCCGCCGCCGCAGCCGCAGTCGCGGCCACCGCCGCCGTCGCCACCGTTGCCGCCGTCGCCGCCGCCGCCACCGCCGTTGTTGTCGTCGTCATCGTCGTCGTCATTGTCTTCGATTTCGCGTCGTCGTCGTGGTCGTCGTCGCCGACGTCGTCGTCGTCAAATTCGTTTTCGCGTCGTCGTCGTCGTCGTCGTCGTCGTCGTCGTCTTCGCTTTCGCGTCGTCGTCGCCGTCGTCGTCATCGTCGTCGTCTTCACCGTCGTCACCGTCACCGCCGTCGTCGTCGTCGTCGTCGTCGTCGTCGTCGTCGTCGTCGTCGTCGTCGCGGCCGCCGCCGTCGCCGCCGTCATCGACAGGGGAGGTTCGGGGGCCCAAGATTTCGGACGTTTTTGTTGTTCCCTGTGGGGCTCCGGAGGCCTCCGAAGATCTTCAGGGACCTCCAGGGACTTCCAGGGACCTCTGCAGACACCCGGAAGGAATTAATGTGGGAATGGCGAAAGGAAGAGGAATTTGGGCAGGAGAGGAGGGCAGGGATGTGGCGCGTCCAGGGCAACTTTTTCAACTTGATTGGGGGGACTGCGTGGAGCTGCACGGTTCATTTAGAAGGCCTGGGTCCGGAGTAGGAGCAGCAACACGAAGGGGCACATATGCGGAGGCTGCGGAGGAATAGGAGGAGAACGATAAGGCGCAGGGGGAGAGTGAACCAAACGCGCGCCACAGATGGTGCGAGAAACCATCCCGTCCACGGAAGGAGTGGGAGGAGGCGGAGGGGGAGAGCAAGCCAAACACGCTAACACATGTGGAAATCAAGGAGGAGGAGGAGGAGGAGGAGGAGAAGAAGGAGGAGGCGCAGGGAGGGCGAAAACACCCTCTCGTCCCAGAGAGGAGGGGGATGGGGAAGCCGAAGGGGAAGAGTGAGCCAAACGCGCACCACCGATGATGCAAAAAACCCTCTCGCCCCAGATGAGGAGGGGAAGGGTGAGACGCAGGGGGAGAGTGAGGCAAACGAGAATCATCAATGGTGCACCAGCGAGGTGGGGAAAGGGGGGGACGCAGGGGGAGGGTGAACCACACGCGCACCAATGATAGCGCAAAGCACCCTCCCGTGCAAGAGCGCACAAGCATGGAGAACGCGGAGGTGGAGAGTGAGCCAAACGTGCACCACCGATGGCGCACAACACCCACTCTCCCAGGAGGAGGGGAATGGGGAGGCAGAGGGGGAGGGGGAGCCAAACGCACAACACCGATGGCGCACAACACCCACTCTTCCAGGAGGAGGGGAAGAAGGAGGCGGAGGGGGAGGGTGAACCAAACGCGCACCACCGATGGCGCAAAGCACCTTCTCGTCGATGGGGGGGGGGAATGCGGAGGGGGAGAGTGCCAAGCGCGCACCACCGCAAGCACCCTCCCGCCCCAGAGAGGAGTGGCATGGTAAGGCGGAGAGGGAGTGGGCCAAACAAGCAAGAGGAAGGTCATGGGGAAACGGAAGGTGGATCGGGAAGAGTGGGCTAAACACGCAACGCCGGTGAAGAGCGAGGAGGAGGAGGAGGAGGGGGAGGCGCAGGGGAGGGAGTGAGCCAAACGCGCACCACCAATGGTGCGAAACACCTTCCTGTCCCAGAGAGGAGGGGGAGGCGGAGGCGGAGGGGGAGAGTGAGCTAAACGCGCACCAACGATGGCGCAGAGCACCCTTCGTCCCAGAGAGGAGGGGTCCGGGGGGGCGAGTGAGCCAAACGCGCACAAAACGTAGTGTGACCTCTGGCGGCGGCGTTTGGTGGGAATGTTGAGGCCAGCTGGGACTGCCTCCGGGGGCTGTCTGTGCGAAACCCAAAGCCTTCCCCTTCTGCGCCATCGGTGGTGCGCGTTTGGCTCACTCTCCCCCTCCGCTATCTCTATACCCTCTTCTCTGGGACGGGAGGCTGTTCTGCGCCAGCAGGTACTACCTCGCGGGGCCTGTTGAGGCTAGCTGGGGCTGCCTTGGGAGGCTGTCTGTGCGCAGCCCGAAGCCTTAGCAGTCCCAGGCCCCCCCCCGAAACCTCCCAGCCCCCCCCCTCAAACCTCTCGCAAAAGCGCTGGGATGCGCCGCTGGGGGAACGGTGAGGGCCCAGCTGGCCTGCTCGGTGGGAGCCCTCCTGCGTGCTCCCAGAGGCCCATCGGAGATCGCACTACCGATTGGGCCGCGCAACGTAAACAAACAAAACGTCGATTTGAATGGGGATGGGCATCCATCCAAGCATCCGGATCTTAAGAGCGAAGAGGAACTAGGCACCACGACGGATCGCGATGGAAGGCGAACGGCGCTCGATCCGTGGATCTTTTGGCGCTCCGGAACTTCGGGGCATGAGGTGTAGGGGTTTCGCAAGCGGGAAGTCGATCTGGATTTTTAACGCACGCACACACCATTCATACAAATGTTGAAATTTTCACGCTCCGAGCATCAAGGCACCTCAGAAGCCAGCAAGACTTTTCAAAAGGAACCTGCGTCAAGCTGTGCGGCCGTGTCGAACACTAGGGACAGACAGCGTAAGCATGTCCCGAGCACGATCTCGGTGAGGAGAAGAAGACGCCTCCATCTCTGCCGATGCTAGATGCTGGAGAGCTCGAGCTTCAGGACCAGATTTTGTAGACATCCCCAGGCGCCCCCACCCATTGTGAAAATTAACCCCCTCCATCCGCATGGCTGGCGGAACATACTTGGACGAACGTGTGCTGCGCTATGGCGGGCACGTGTTGAAAACAATCCGCCACAACTGTCGGACGAGTTTCCCCCAACTGGGCAAGAAAGAACAAAGGAACGCGCGCTGGAGCTACATCGAGGCGCACAATTTGAAGATGCCCCGCCCTTCCTCCGCGCAGCCTTGTATACTTATGCTGCTTCAAGACTTGTACGGATGCGTCAGGCTCAACGCCTAGGCCTCCCTGGCGGCATGCCTGACGGAACGGCGGAGATGGTTGCTAAGGAAAGGGGTGCAGAGCTCATCAGCAGTATGAACAAATGCCCGCACTCTACTGGGGCTGCATCCGGGGACTCATCCTGTTGCTTTCCAACAGCCCCGCGGCCCGTGGAGGGCCCCGGGGCCCGAAATGGCGACACACTTCCGGGACCCCCTTCCCCTCCAGGACACCCTTCCTGCATGAGGAGCACGTCCCATATGGAAGCGTCGAGGGATGGAGAGCAGAACATCCACCCTCATAATAATCACCCCGATACGCGAAGTCGTTTAGTAAAGGCACCCACAGAAGGAATCAAACAGGGCAGGGCTGCGAGGACACGCCCAAGGCCATGTAGTAAGCGCCACTTGTCGGGTCCGGGTGGTTCTTCCTCCCTTGAATGGAAGGGGGAGAAAACGAGCGCCCTGGCTTCCCATTCCCCTTTCCTCCACTAATCACAAGGGCGGGTGACGCATGTCCACCTGGCGGCCTTGCGGGGCCGCGCTCCCGAATTACGCCGCCGAGGCCGGCGGTACGGCCATCTTGGGGAAGCCGGCTGCGACGTCGGCAGGACGCATCGCTGGGGAGCAACCTCGGGGCTATCCCGAACCCCTTTCCAGCGATTGGGGTGCAACTTGGGCGATTGAGGTGTAACTTGGGTTTTGCACTTCGGGGGCCTCCCCTGGATCCAAGGGCACCAGTGGCAGCAGCTGAGACGCCACTCTGGGCCGCCCAAGCATAGCACACGCTGCTCCAAAGGGGGCACCGCCCCTGCAGGTCAGTGCTGCCTCGTGGAGCGGGAGGCACCACGCGCTCCCAGGAGGCGCGAGCGGCTAGGGAGATGCCGCCTTCCCTCGGGAACCGCCTCACAAGAAGGCCCGACTCTGCAGAAGGGCACGGCCTTCGGGCCACAGCTCCGCTGGACTCCCCGGCCTTTCGGGGCGATCCGGGGCACAGCCGGGCGCGCCCGGCGAGGCGCAGCGGCCGGCCAGCATCCAGAGGCGGAGCGACCTCGAAGGACCAGCGAAATCATCGGAACCTCCGGGTGTGGATGCATCGGCGATGCGTCGTCGACGTTGGCGGGGATGAGATCGGGTCCCACATCGAGCCGCATCGGCGACGCATCGGCGATGCGGCGCGATTCTCCGACACCACATATTCCGACCCCATCATGATGGGCCTTTTTTCCACCACCTCCACCATAAGTTGGATAGGGGATGAGGATGTGGAGGACGAGGAGGAGGAGGAGGAGGAGCAGGAGGAGGAGCAGGAGGATGAGGAGGAGGAGGAGGAGGAGCAGGAGGAGGAGGAGCAAGAGGAGGAGGAGGAGGACCCCCTCCCCCTCCAACTTATGGTGGTGGTGGTGGAAAACAAGCCCATCACATCTGGAAGGCCTATGACTGTCCGAGCTCCGAGCAGCGCGGGCCGCGCGGGCCGAGAGGCGCTCGCGGGGAGCGCAGCCGCAGCCTGAGCGGCCAGCCCGTCGCAGGCCTCCCGCAACTCCCGCTGCACGCCGGAGACCTTGAGATCCAGCTGGGAGGCCTGCGGCCCACGGCCGCGGGGCTTCGGGCAGAGTCCCCACCCAGGCGCTGGGCCCTCCCAGCTCCCTGGGCGCCGCGTGCGCCGCGGGCGCCGTCGCCGCCGCCGCCGTCGTCGCCGTCGCCCTCGCCGTCGCCGCCCTTGACATGGGGTCCACGACGCCTCGAGAGGCAACCAAGTTAGCGCCACGCATATGCGTTTTCAACGTTCCAAACAATCACACACATGGGTGAAGTCGTTTTCAAACTTTCCAGCTAGCGCTACGCGCAATCGTCTTCAAAGTTTCCAGCGGCTAGAGGCGCGCAGGGTGGGATGGCCATTTTCAAAATCCGCCGATCCGGCGTGTGAGTTTCAAAAGCCTTCAAAACAGCCTGAGCCACAATTCCTGAGCTTCAGCTCTACTGGGGGGTGGATGCCAGGGTGACTCTGCCGGGGTAGGGGTAGGGGGGCGGTTCGATGTAATTCCCGGGCGGGATCGGAGTTCCAGCTCACCCCAGGACGGCCCCCTCGCCAAGGAGGGCCCCGACATGGGCCAAGAGGGCCCCGAGTCGCCGCACGATCGTTACAAGACGCCCAAAATGTCCCCAAAACGGCTCCAGAAGCCTCCAAGATGTCCTCAAAGGCTCTGGGAAAAAAGCCTCCCAAAGAAGGCTCAACAAAAACAACTAGCGTCCTATTCCCGAAGAGAACGTACAATTCCCCACACTCTAAGTGGGGTTCTGATTTTCTCTACACCCGCGTCGTACCCGCGTTCACTCACCTCCCCTTCTCTACACCCGCGTCACATTGGCTCAAGCCGGCTCAGCGCGCATAGTTTTCCACTCAGACGCGCCCTGCTTCCGTATCTTAAAGCAGCAAGCGATCCCTTGCGGTGTGCGGCACTCATGCCGCCAAAAATTGCCATCGCCGCCCTGCCACCACCTTGTTTGGCGCTGAAGGAGGCAACGGTTTTGGTTTTCTCGACACCACAGGGGGTGCGCAGGGGGTGGTCTCTCAGTTCGGCCGCTATCCACGACACTGGCGCAAAGCCTAGCAGGCGTGGCACTTTCTCGACACCACACGGGGTGCGCAGGGGGTGGTCTCTCAGTTCGGCCGCTATCCACGACACTGGCGCAAAGCCTAGCAGGCGTGGCACTTTCTCGACACCACAGGGGGTGCGCAGGGGGTGGTCTCTCAGTTCGGCCGCTATCCACGACACTGGCGCAAAGCCTAGCAGGCGTGGCACTTTCTCGACACCACAGGGGGTGCGCAGGGGGTGGTCTCTCAGTTCGGCCGCTATCCACGACACTGGCGCAAAGCCTAGCAGGCGTGGCACTTTCTCGACACCACAGGGGGTGCGCAGGGGGTGGTCTCTCAGCTCGGCCGCTATCCACGACACTGGCGCAAAGCCTAGCAGGCGTGGCACTTTCTCGACACCACAGGGGGTGCGCAGGGGGTGGTCTCTCAGCTCGGCCGCTATCCACGACACTGGCGCAAAGCCTAGCAGGCGTGGCACTTTCTCGACACCACAGGGGGTGCGCAGGGGGTGGTCTCTCAGCTCGGCCGCTATCCACGACACTGGCGCAAAGCCTAGCAGGCGTGGCACTTTCTCGACACCACAGGGGGTGCGCAGGGGGTGGTCTCTCAGGGTGCGCAAAGGGGCGTGGTCTCTCAGTCTCTCAGGCCGCTACTCCACGACACTGGCGCAAAGCCTAGCAGGCGTGGCACTTTCTCGACACCACAGGGGGTGCGCAGGGGGTGGTCTCTCAGCTCGGCCGCTATCCACGACACTGGCGCAAAGCCTAGCAGGCGTGGCACTTTCTCGACACCACAGGGGGTGCGCAGGGGGTGGTCTCTCAGCTCGGCCGCTATCCACGACACTGGCGCAAAGCCTAGCAGGCGTGGCACTTTCTCGACACCACAGGGGGTGCGCAGGGGGTGGTCTCTCAGCTCGGCCGCTATCCACGACACTGGCGCAAAGCCTAGCAGGCGTGGCACTTTCTCGACACCACAGGGGGTGCGCAGGGGGTGGTCTCTCAGCTCGGCCGCTATCCACGACACTGGCGCAAAGCCTAGCAGGCGTGGCACTTTCTCGACACCACAGGGGGTGCGCAGGGGGTGGTCTCTCAGCTCGGCCGCTATCCACGACACTGGCGCAAAGGCTAGCAGGCGTGGCACTTTCTCGACACCACAGGGGGTGCGCAGGGGGTGGTCTCTCAGCTCGGCCGCTATCCACGACACTGGCGCAAAGCCTAGCAGGCGTGGCACTTTCTCGACACCACAGGGGGTGCGCAGGGGGTGGTCTCTCAGCTCGGCCGCTATCCACGACACTGGCGCAAAGCCTAGCAGGCGTGGCACTTTCTCGACACCACAGGGGGTGCGCAGGGGGTGGTCTCTCAGTTCGGCCGCTATGGCACCACGACACTGGCGCAAAGCCTAGCAGGCGTGGCACTTTCTCGACACCACAGGGGGTGCGCAGGGGGTGGTCTCTCAGTCTATCCACGACACTGGCGCAAAGCTAGCAGGCGTGGCACTTTCTCGACACCACAGGGGGTGCGCAGGGGGTGGTCTCTCAGCTCGGCCGCTATCCACGACACTGGCGCAAAGCCTAGCAGGCGTGGCACTTTCTCGACACCACAGGGGGTGCGCAGGGGGTGGTCTCTCAGCTCGGCCGCTATCCACGACACTGGCGCAAAGCCTAGCAGGCGTGGCACTTTCTCGACACCACAGGGGGTGCGCAGGGGGTGGTCTCTCAGTTCGGCCGCTATCCACGACACTGGCGCCTAGCAGGCGTGGCACTTTCTCGACACCCACGCAGGGGGTGGTCTCTCAGCTCGGCCCGATCCACGACACTGCGCAAACCTAGCAAACGTGGCACTTTCTCGACACCACAGGGGGTGCGCAGGGGGTGGTCTCTCAGCTCGGTCGCTCAGAGGGCTCAGAACGCAGGATTGTGCATATATATATATATATATATATATTCTCATACGCACCTCTCCGAGGGAGTAGAGCTCAGAGGCGATTAATGCGTCCGTCGTTCGCGATTTTTCTGGCCGTTTCGCTCGGGAAATCCTCGAAATTCTGAAAATCGGTGGCACCCCTCACGCAGATCGTGACGTCAGGGTCCAAAAACACATAGGATTTCCAACATTTTATCATAAAACCTTCAAAAACACATGGTAATTTCAATGATTTTGACTCCGATTCTCAGAGAATGGCGGTTTCGCCTGAGACATCCTCCCAAAATCGAGCCCCAGACCCCTCCTCGGAGCCTCCTGGGGGCCTCCTGGAACCTCCTGGGGCCTCCTGGGGCTTTCTGGACCTTCTGGTACCCCAGACCCCGCCTCGGAGCCTCCTGGAGTTCTCCTGGGCCTGCTGAGGCCGCCTGGGGCCTCCTGGGGCCTCCTGGGGCTTCAGAACTACATGCACACACAGAGACACAAATCACGCCCAACACATCACACGCTAGACAAACATAACATACACACACACACACAACACCGACAACACGCAAAAAGCACGCACCACACAAAGCACACATCACACACACACACACAACACTCACAATCCTGGGGCCTCCTGGAGCCTCTCCTGGTATCCAAGTCGGGCCTCCTGAGGCTTCCTGGGGGGCCCTGGTACACACATCGCAAGGTGTGGCAACCCCACTTGCGCTCGAGTGCGACTTCGCTGTTGCATGTCACTCCTGCTTCAAACGCCCCTTTCAGCTTGTTGTATGAGCCTGGGCACACACGTGCCACTTGTGTATATATATAATATATATACATAAGCAAACACATAAGATTTGAATTAAGTATGTGGGGTTCCTCGGTAGCGTAATTGTAGCACATTCGCCTCTTGGGCCTTCAGAGCGTCGCAGACGCCCCAAGAGAGTCTCAAACTGCCCAAGACGCCGCAAAGAAGGCTCCAAGACGGCCCAGGAAGGGCCCATGATGGCCCAGGAAGCCCCTCGGAAAGGCCTAAGAGGGCCCCAAGGACGGGCCCAAGAGGCGCCTGAGAGGGCGCCAAGACGGCGGAAGAAATAACGAAGACGGCCCAAGCAGCCCCCAGCAGGACCCCAGAGGCCTGACGAGGCCCCATGACGCTTCCAACTGGCCCCGAGGAGGTCCCCTGAAACCCCTAGAGGCCCCCAGGAATTTCAAAACATGCATCCAACACGACTTCTAGAAGCCTCCACGCTGCCCCCAACCCCCCCCCGAAAAGCCCCAAACTGCCCCCAATGCTTCCGCGACGCTCACGTCTGAACGCAAGCGCCGCAATGCAAAACAAGTTTTTCTATGTTTTCACATTTTCTCCCGTCTCCGGTGTCCTTCACATCCGCGATCTCACAATGGCCCGCAAAGTACCGCGCGAAGGCCCCAGAGACCCCAAGAACACGATGGTACCCAGCAGAGACCGGCGATGCACAAGGCTCCACGAAGAACTGCGGCGCAGACAGCTCGAGCACAATTTTTTTCACAGAGTGCGCCAAGTTGGCGAGGTGTCAACCCAAGGAGGGCCAACACCTGGCCCCAGCGAGGTTTCCCAACAACCACCGAAAATCGCCGACAACCGCCGAAAATCTCCTTATCCTCGTCGTGCTCCTCCCTCTCCCCCTTCCCCCTCTTCCATTTTCCGGTTCCGCCTGGTCCTCCTCATCCTCAGCATCCTGCTACTCCTGCCCCTCCCCCCCCTGCCCCCCTCCACTTCATCATGATAATCCTCCTCCTCCTCTTCCTCCTCCTCCTCCTCCTCCTTCTCCTCCTTCTCATCCTACTCAGGTGCCTCCATTTCCACTCCTCATCATCAGCCTCACCGCTCGCCGTCGTCGCCGGTCATGACCGCCATCGCGCGTTTCCGGAAGCAACGGAAGCGTCCCAGATCGGCGGCACTGGCCAGAGGCCACTGCACTATACCTTTCGTTTGATAATCCCCTCAGCCCGCACGACCAGAAACCAAGAGCAATGCAACAACTAACTACACGGTTGAAGGGCGGCTTCTTTTCAATCGGGGATCTCGGTTGAGAC